ATTGCCTAGGGGCCCCGGCATGGTTAATTCGGCCGTCTTCAATAGTGTTATTGGAAACAAAAGTAGATATTGCTCGACGTTCATTGTTGTATTTTTGTTTACAAATCAACACTTTTAGTTTAAATTACATGCATTACAGCCACCAGGCAAGGCAGGCAAAGGCATTACAGCCACCAGACTCGTCTGTTATTTCATTTAAATTTGCTATATATGCTTATGCTATTTCATTAATTCAGTTGGGTAACTTTATTTTTCGTAAAGCAGCAGGGAATGAATAGTATTTTTTTTCCTATATATAGATCATTTATAGGCTAAGCTTTTCATTTCCCCTTTTATGAGGGAGGCAATTCCCGTAGAATCCACTAAAGACATCGGAAATAGTTATATAAAGAATAATGATAATTTTTATAAGTTACTATAAAACCAAATTATTAAATTATTGAAATAGACTTTTCAAGCACTCTTGAATACTTAATTTTTACTTTGTTTTAATTTTAATGAAATGTCAGTATGTCAGTCCGTGATCTACTACCAATATTTAAAATAAATGAATCAATCAAAATGAAAGACAAATTGTGTTATTACGTTTTATTATTGAAATCAGAATAATTTACATTGTAAAAAATACCCATACTCAGTAATCAGTACACTAAGGTTAACAAGTTTTGGGCTCTATGTAACAATTTCATTTAATTCTTTATTTTGCAAAGTTATATCTACTCTTTGTAGGGCCGTCTGCCCTTTGACATGTTTGTTTTGTTCAGCCTTGCGAATACTGACATTTAGTATTAGGAAACTTACACACTGAACGTTTTTAAATAGTTTTTTTTCGAAAGTTTACTGGTATTTTTATATTTTATCTATTGTTATTTTGTTGTATTTAAGAGACAATGTTACATATTTTTGGGATTTTAGTTACACATACACATGATTCCTTTACTTTTTACATTTTAAAACTTGCTCTCATCTCCTCAAAATATTTGAACTAAGATATTTTGTGCTGGTATCAAAATTAAGCATATTTCTTTGGCATACACAAGCATTTTAAATCTTTTTTTACATACTTTTACAATATTATTTCGATAAACACTAAAGATAAATTAAATGTTACATACTTAGAGAAACACTAATATTAAATATATTCCTATAATATTTAAATTAATTAAATGTTTCAAAATTTAAAAGAAAAAAAAATGTGATCTCATAAACGTATTACTGTAATTCTTAATCTAAATACAGACTTAACTACGTTTTTACACTTACAAGTATTAAAAATAAAAGCTGCATCTTTGGAGTCATTATGCCCTAAAACAACTACACTTTATTGAATTACTGTCACAAATTTGAAGACTTAAGCGATATGTATTTATAGCTTACTCTATATTTTGGATCAATGTAATGGATTATGGTTTATTATGAAAACATTCCAAATAAAGAACTTGTGACATCGATGTGATATATAATATATTAGATATACGAGATATATTAATATAATATGTAAAATATTGACCCAAAGTACAGAGATGGCGCAGTGAGACGAATATTCTACTAATTGACTAACCACACGCGGACTATTGATATTTTATTCCACACTATAGCACTGAATTAGGCAAATTATTATTAAAATCTTCACATTTAACCATATTTTTTTATTACTCATCTAAGTAAAGGCATTTAATACTTTCTTAGATTTACGCGAATATTTGAAATTTTAAATAAAACTATATTTTCGGATTATTTCGCGGATTTATTGTGATTTCGTGATCATGATTGCTGTAAAGCATTCGAAACGTCGGGAAGTAAAAATCAAAATAAATCCGCGAAATAATCCGAAAAGATAGTTTTATTTACAGGCATTTAATTAAACGCGACAACCGTGTGCGGTCAGCTTAGTTTGTAGTTGCCCTTATTACTTGTATTGATATTAGGTATGTGTAATAAATGAATTCGTTACCTCTCTTGTGAGTTTCTAATAAATACGAAGTAGTATAAATAATTCTGTAGGTAACTTAAGAAGTTTATAGTGTCAATACGTCCTATCCACATTTAGTGTAGATTTTACTTTATATCTAATGTATAATTGACAAATAAATCAAAATGAAAGAAAATAAGCAGTTTCTAGGTACAGCGGCAAACAATAGAAGTCTACTCACTGAACAGTCTTAATAAATTATTTTATACAGAATTTTTTATGAAATATTTTTACACACCACGAATTTACATTAAAATATCAAGTTAGATACGATTGGAATAAAAATAAATTTTACTGGACGGACAGACAGACGCCAATAAAGGGAAATAAGAGAACGTAGTTTGATATTGGGCAATAAAATGAGACAAAATTAAGATAAATGTTAAAAGTTAGTTCGTCAAATGTGCTTTATGTTCCACCATTAAACTATAGCGATTTATAGTTTTTGCACACCATCAAAGGAATTCTACGTAAAGGTCTAATATAGTATAAGGAAAATGTACTAAGTTTTTGAAGAAACTGGCTCTATTTAGTTACAACACTCTATTGAATTTCATTGAACTTGATTTATAGTTTTGTTTATGCTTATAATAAAAATAATTTTGATACGAATAACTTATGTTTATTCATCGATCAAAAAAGTACTAGATACGCAATCAGCGACAAAAAATGTCCTCATCGTATGAGCGCTTATTTGAACATTTGAGCGTGCTTTTTTTTTAAAAACAACTTTAAGCTTTGCTTTTAAGGTTCAGTTTACATTGTTGTATATTTATTTTAATAGAATAATTACCTAAACACAATTGGTGACAGTTTAAAGAACTTTTGCATGGCATTGTGTGTCTACTGATACTTTTTTAATCGATGTTTTTATTCTTTAATCGGTAATGTAAAACGAGAATATAACTAACAAAAGGTGACATTAAATTGGATGAGAGTTACAAAAATTTTAAACAATTTAAATCACATTACGTGAGGTTATTCCTCCAATCGTCCTTCAGTACTGGGGTGGAACAGTTCAAGGCGCACCACCGGGACTGGGCCGTGGGCGGGCACGCGCTGCCGCCGGGCCGCTGTCGACGGATGATCCTCCTTGTTCGTAGCGCCGATCCAACGCAGCCTCCATCGTTCCTGCACGGACTCCACTCTCCCCATTCCGATACACGGCAGTCTAGCAGCTCTGTTAACATAAAAAATAATAATAACATCCTTAAATAAAGATGATTAGTATCACCAAACCAGAGGTCATGGCAGATGATTTTATTGACAATTATAATTAATCTATAATGACAGAATATCGGCCAAGTAAGCTAAAATTATGTACACGTGTACAAGTCATCTACGCGTATTTATAGGGTACAACAAGTATTTGCGTAGACCATTCATTATTTCTAAAAAAACAATTTATCCCAAGTGAATCGTACATTTTTCCGGGATAAAAAGTAGCCTATGTGTTATTTTAATGATAAAAACTTTACAATAATATAGCTTATGGGTAATAAGCTATATTATTGTAAAAAATCATTAAAATCCAAACATTAGTGTTTGCGTGAAAGAGTAACAAACATCCATACATCGATACATATAGACATCCATACATCCACACAAACTTTTGCATTTATAATATTAGTAGGAAATCTGCAAGAGCATAAGTCTTTCTCTTAAGGTACACTCGCAATAACTATTCATATATATTTAAAACGTACCTAGAGACTTACTCGAGCGAAGCGAGAGCGAGTCATTAGTCATTAGACTTGTAATAATTGATACTAATATTTTTCAAATATTGGAGTTATAATTGAAAGTACAATTAAGCTCTAGCGGAGCCGACATCGAAGCGATCAGCTGTCGCAAATGCAATTCGCCTGTAATCAATTTCACTCGCTCGTTACATAAAGACGTTTGTGATTAATGAAGGAAAATAGTGGTTCGGACGGTCGAAATACTAATTGTTATTCGCATTGGTATTATATTTTTAATCAATTTCTTCGACTACTTTTTCCTCGTATAGTTTTGACCAGTAAGTTAATGTTATGGCACTGAAAATTAATCTTTACTGCAAGAAGTCGGGGGCGATAAATCGATCTAGATTAGTTTTATGTCTGGGAAAACGCGTGTTTTCGAGTTTTCATGCGGTTTTGTTTCGCATTATTCCACGCAAAATATGGTCGCTAATTCGCACGCTAGGACATAAGCGTCGTGGTCAAGCGGCCAAGGTACAAGATCAACAATCACAGGTGTCCAGGTTCGAATCTCGGTGGCATACATAGTTTTTACTTGTGTTTTTTTTAATGTTTAATCAAGTTTTTAGTTTAAAAAAAAAAGAAAATTGTACTTTAGGCCAAAAACTCCGCACGAAGCTCGGTATCCCTGGTACTATATTTAAACGAGCAATTCTTGTATATTTATCTATACGGAAACGGCTCTGACGATTTCGCTGAAATTTGATATGTGTGAAATGTGAAAATCTATGTTTTAATGTTTTTACTTTTATTTTATTTTTTGTATTTATTCAAGTTTTTATTTATTTTTATTTTTAAGCGAAATTAAAAAGAAAATTGTACTTTCGGGAAAAAACTCTCAGCGAAGCTCGCTCGCACAGGTACTGTTTATTTAAAGCAAACATAGCACTAGACACTTTATGTATCATAATTCTGAATAAGTGCTTATATACTCTTAAAAGCAAATAAGTTCAGAGATACTAAACAGAATATATATTATAATATTTAGATACAAAATATTTATTTATACTTGTATTTTTTGCGTAAATAAATAACCTTTCATTTCTATTTACTTTATTTAAATATAAAATATTAAAACGGGACAAAAAAGTTATCTAAAAGAAATATCTTACTTTCAAGTATCATCAATTATATATAAATGTTTAAGAAGTTTAATTTTCAGAATAGCCGCTATAAAAAAACATCTAAGTCATGCTATGGAAGATGTTTGAATATATGAGTTTTGATTATCTATACTAATATATAAAGAGGTAAAGTTTGTGAATTGTGAATTAACGTTGTAGGGGGTATTCTCTGGATCTACAGAACCGATTTAGATGAAATTTGGCAAGAAGGTAGCTTGAGACCCTGGGAAGGACATAGAATACTTTTTATCCCGGAAATCTTCCTTTAAGGGGTTGAAAATGGGGATGAAAGTTTGTATGGGGAATCAATCTAGGGATGAACCCGAGCGAAGCGAGGGTGAGTCGCTACGCTCGTGTATAATAACTGTTGTAGAATCATGAATAAATAGCTACAATTTCAAATTTCATTTAAATTATTTACATATTCAGTAGCTTTGAAGTCGCTTGTGTTACTACAGTTTACGACCGAGGGTTAAATTCCTGCATTCCATTTAAAGCGAACAGTTTTTATTTTGTTGTAATAATAAATCTTAACTTGTCTCATAAATATAAAACTTAGTCTTTTACAGTTAATCTGTTCAAACAATTAAAATATATTTAGAATTGTGATGGCCATTAATAATACGCGTCATTCACGTCAAGTAATAAGCAAATTTCATTGTAATTTAATTACTATATTTCATATACGTATATTTGAAAAATAGAATAAATTCTATTACTAGAATTAAGAATTATTATGATGAAATAACAACACCTATTATTACCGATATCGGTTAAGGCGGTCAGACTTGCTGATAATAGCTATATATGTGGAGATATCAATTTGATATGATCGCACGCAAAAATAATGGTTTCTGGCGCTTTTCAAAGTAAGCAACGAGAATATTTTTGTGGATACAAAACTGAAAAACTCATTTAGCTCAACTAGAGCATGGTTAGATAACATTTATATATTTTATTATCAAAGTCACCTAGGACTGCTATTTTCCATATTTATTGATACACTACCTACTTACCCTCGCTCCGCTCGGGTTGTTCCTAGTTATGTTTTAACGTTTAGTATAGATTTCTCAGAGATGAGATATTTTCCCGCAGTAAAAAGTATCCTGACCCGAATGATCAGTTATTATCATACCAAATTTCATCAAAATCTGTCCAGTGGGTTTCTCATGATCCGTTCCAGTCAGAGACAGACAGACAAAAAATCTAAAAAGTATAGATTCGGTCTCTGTGTCGTCGATAATAATAACTATTTCAATAAGTTTTTCCAAAAAATATTTAATGTAGGTACAGATTCGTCTCAGTTAGAATTTTATTATATGTATAGAAAATGTGTGCGATATCGGCACGCAGCTATACGACTCTTTCTTACTGCTGCGGTAATGCTCATTAAATCTACCAATGAGCTCCTTCCATCAGTCACGCGTACGAAACGAGATTCAAACCCGTGACACTACAACTGTAAATGCGAAAGTTGTATGTTTGTTACTCCTATACACTGAAACGGCTGAACGGATTTTGATGAAATTTAGTCCACAGATAAACTATAGCCTAGAGTAATACATAGGCTAGTTTTAGTAACAATTTTGACAAAAATATGTATTAACGTACTCGCTCTTTTCCGCTTTCTCCGTTCCGCTGGGTCGGTGTTATCCGCGCGCAGCTTGCGACGTCGTCTCGCGCGGTACCTTCGCGCGAGACTGCGCAGCGCCGACCGCTCGCTCGCCGTCGGTCCCGATGTGGGAAGCTCGTTCGCTGACCGAGGCTCGTCGGTCGTGGCTGAGTTGTTTGAACTATATGGGTGATTAGATTTGATTGCATGGGTGTATATAATGTTATTATATAATAATATACTTTATTGTAAATTAAGTTAAGAAGAGAGAAAAAAACAGAATGGTTGGAAAATATGCAAGATGTCTTATCAACTAAAAAAACGATCTCTTCCAGGCAACTTTAAGGCAGCATGATTACCACCTGTCTTACGTTCAAGGAAAACATGGAGAGGAAACCTGCATGTCTGAAAAAGCTAGCAAGTTTAAGAAAGACATTTAAAGTCGCCAACGCGCACTTGACCAGCGTGGTGGCCTGATACCCCTCGTATTGTAGGGATGCTCATGCCCAGCTGCGGGACGTTTAGAAGGGCTGAATACATACAAACCTATTTATGTGACTCGTTATAAGAACACTAAACACTTACATAGAATAATACGAGTAAGCACTATCTGGCGTAGTAAGAGATCCTTCAGAGTAAATCCTGGGTGCCTCAGCTCGCTCCACTTCCTCAGCAATAGATAAAGCCCTGTTACCATCGAGCATATCTATCTTGTTGTGATTTAGTTTGTCGAGTTGCAGCACGTCGTATCGTCGGTCGTCGCTGTCGCGGTGAAATACCTCGGAGAGCTCGTATTCACGGAGCTAAGAAACGATAAATGTTTAGATAAGCTAATATTATCATTATATAGTTTTTTTTTTGTTTTAGTGGATTTTTAAGACTAATATGAACCACTTGTATGAAAATTCTTGAAATGACTAAGTTTAGAGAACGTATCATCGTTTAACATGTGCATACATTTAAGAAATTAAAAAAATATAAAGTTCACCCTACTCTGCATGCATACATGAAGCTGTTGTTAATATGAGTATTCTAAATTCCATAATAATGTTTATATATGTTTGTATACTATCTATGGTTTAATAGATAGCGGAAAAAGGTATTCTACAATAAATAATAATAATGAATAAATATAAATATATTGGGGTATTAACACACAGCACCACCTAGTTCCATGGTAAGCTTCGAGGCTTGTCTTATGGATACCAGATAGTTGATACACTACACATATTTATAACTTTATATATACATATTATGAATATAAACCCCCATGACTGGAGTAAAAACATTCGTGCTCATCACACAAATGAATGCCCCAAGCGGGTCTCGAACCCGCGACCGCTGCCACAGCAAGTAGGATCACTACAAACTGAGCCAAACGTGTCGTCAAACTAAATTATAATGAAGACTTAATTATTTAGATAATCTGAAAATCATAATATATCAATCTCTTTAACACTAAACTTAATAACTAACATAAAATAACAACGCAAATTAATAAAAAATGTAATATTTTTTAAAACTTTACAGGAAAATCTTAACAGAACATAAAAATAACTTTGAGTAACACTTACTTTTATAAACTGAAAAGTGGCTATCGGCGGCAACCTTCTAAGATGTGGGTAGAAGAAGGAGCCTGCGGGGTGTGACGGGTACTTTGATGTTATACGATACGCGACCCCCTGAGGGGCGGTCGGCCAGTTAGGCGCTGTGAAGGTAAACCCGTTGTCCGTGCCCGCGTCTAGGGGGTCCACCTGTATAATACATGTATATTGTTTATGTACGTATAGTTAAACATATTTGTAGATACTTATACTTTTAGATTAAAAAAATCATTATTATAGATTAAAATTTTCAACATTTTTATCTTTGAAATGGAGTAAATAAAACAAAAAATGTATTTTTTTATTATACCTGCGCTTATACACAATCGTATAAATCATATGTAAATGTTATGCTATAAATAATTATATTTGTCTAAATATATATTATTTGTAATCTACATTTTGACAAAGGGATAGCGTTGTCAAAAGAAAAAGTATCCAAAGAGCTTTGCTAAAGAGCTTGCCTACGTTTATTTCTTCACAAAGATAATATGTCTTTCAGTTCTATATTTTTTAAACTCATATATGATTAAATTGTTCTTAAAAGTGTTTATGTAATAATTATAATAATAAATAATCTTAATCCCTCAACAATATACATTATTGTACAAAAAATAACTTATATATTTAATTGGGTTTATTTACTTATTTGGTGTTGGTGTATATTACTTTGTGTTTAGTAAGTAAATATGTCAAATCATCACAAGTTACATACATATGTACACAGACGGTCATCTCGAATTCAAGAAAATTGTTATATTCTAAATCAATGTAAGTCAAAGAAAACGTACCTCTATAGTAATACTGTCCAGCCAATTGCCGTCGACGCAAAGATCAAAGCTGTCGACTCCAATGAACCAGTCTGGAGATGGAATCATTCGTGCCATTACTGATACCTAGGGGTTCAAAATTATATCATATAGATAATATGTATTTCAAACTCGACGTTTCATATAAAATATTGCTTGTCTTAAGTTTTCGTAGTCAAAATATTTTTGTGATGGAAAACGGGATACTTGTCATAATTATCAAGTTACTTTTACAAATTTATGTCAGAAAATTTAAATAGGCTTTTTTTTTAAATAAATGTAATATAATTGTTATTTTTCATTCAGTTAGATAGCGAATTCAAACTGAATGCTTTATTTAACTATGCTCTGAAATACCATTTCCATATGTCCATACCAATCTATAGGTACTATATTATGATATTTTTAACATGTGCTACGTTGATGTAGTGGTCAATGAACCGTCTGTATTTTTTACGTATTTGACAGTTCACTAATACACACAGGGATTTTCTTTTATATTGGGACATTAACACACAGCACCGTCTAGTTCCATCGTAAACTACGAGGCTTGTGTTATGGATACCACACAGTTGATACACTACACACATATAACTTTAAATACATGCATATTACAAATATAAAACCCATGACTGGAGTAAAAACATTCGTGCTCATCACACAAATGAATGCCCCCAGCGGGGTTCGAACCCGCAACCGCTGTCACAGCAAGTAGGGTCACTACAAAAACTGAGCCAAACGTGTCGTCACATATTTGATATGCTATACGTAAAATATACTATAAATATAACAAAGTATTTTTAAGACAAGTTTTCTAAATGAGCCATCTAATTGCAAAACTTTAAGTATTAAATTAACACGTAACCTTCACCAACCAACTCTACGAGAGAAACTTAAATTGAAAACAGTAGAATATTGCAGAATTCATAATCCTGGGGATATATTCAATGCACTTGAGTCTAATAGCCCGTAAAGTTTTCTAATTAAGTCACGAAACTAATACTACTGTTTTGCAGGATCGAGTAAACGCTAATGCCATTTAATCATGTATTAAGGACATTTAATCTTTTGACCTTTTAACCTCTTGACCTGCGAATGCTATGTCAGCTGATAAATGAACCGACATAAAAACTGCTGTAAAGCGGTAAACAACCAAAATTAGTCTCAACTGGCAGTAAAATGGCCGCGATGGAAGCACAGATAAATTCCCCTTTTATTACAGCTCGATTTGAATTGTCTACAGTTTTTATTTGTTCGTTTCTGACGTATCGTAATTGTTGTTTGCTCTCTCGGGCATTAATTAGTGTTGAAATACGATATTTTCGAGGGGACCGAAGCGTTTGCTTTACGTATCACCCAGTTCAATTGTAAAATTATTGTAGCTCTGTCGTTGTGTTTATTGCTATCGTTTCATGGAACTCGCTATCAAAAGTGAAGTTTTAATTTTATTTTAATTATCTAGAGGCGTGGCGTTCGTGTAATGTTTGCTATTTAGATATTATATATAAATGAATTTGTAAGGAAATATATTAGATTTATTATATTTAGGTATTTTTGCCTCAGTAGATGAAAAGATTTTAAAATGTATGACTATTTACTATGAAATAGTTTGTTAGGAATAAGCAAATTCGTTTTAACGAACCGTGTCATGGATTTCAGTTCATCGTTAACAAAATGAGTTTGGTAAAACATAGGTACCTATCGTGCCTTGTTACAGCCAAGCGTAGCTAAACTACGTTTGGGAATATTAATTAATTCATGAGGAACGTGAAAATGTGGTTATTCCGTTATACATTAATTAAAAGATACTGTTATCTATACATATAATAAAAATGTAACTAAGTCGAATCTGTACATTAAATATATTTTGGAAAATCTAATTAAAATAGACATTATTACCGATAGAGTCCGAATCTATAGTTTTTAGAATTTTTGTCTGTCTGTTTGTCTGTTACCGCATCACGAGAAAACCACTGGATAGATTTTAATGAAATTTGGTATGATGCTAGCTGGTTATCCGGGTCAACATATAGCATACTTTTTACCGCGGGAAAATATACAATAACTGCAATGTAAGAGTATACTAATATGTAAAACCTAAGATTTTGGTTTTTGGTCATCTGAACGCGGGCGGAGCCGCGGGCAATGCTAGTTTAAAATATAAGCAACTTAACAATAAGAAGAATGAATTATTTAAATATCAGCCCGTTTTAGTTAACAGTGCATGAAATAATAAGAATTTCAAGATAAACGTAATTATTAATGTTAATTTCTCTAAAAATAACAAATTAAGCTCAAAAAACCTCTCATAAATTTAAATGTGCAGTCAAAAGCGATTTATAGTGAAGTAAATGAATTACTGCTCATATTTGGTCATCCAAATTTAAGGTAAACTGTGCCATGTATGTATATATAGTATGTGGGTCCACTCCGTTTTCATAATGAGGTTAACGAAACAATGTATAGTAGGTAAAAGCTCCCAATTACACGTGTTTTTTGACCAAACAAAACTTCTCTGCGAGAATAAAAGCCGTTCTCTGTGAGGCTCAGGTTTAGAGTCAAACATATTTCAAACTGACTTGCTCTCGCTTTTCTCGGCTAGGTCTCTAGGTGCCTTACAGTATGCCTACGTGTTATGACCGGTCATAGTATAGAAATCTGTATATCAAATTTCATCCAAATCGGTCCAGCCGTTACAGAGCGATGGAGTATATTGATCTGTTCGAAAGGAACTCATTGCCAATATTAAAGGTGGTGAAATTCTTTGAGTTCATCTTGAGGACATCTTGTATCAAGTGCTATCGAAATTTGCTTAAACTTTTCATTTGAAATCAATAAACAAAAATACAAATATCCTTACAACTTTTATACTATCTATACTTTAGTAGAATAATTACTAGAAATTTTTTAAATACCTACCCTAGAATGATTTCCATCTACAAAGAACTCCGCTTCAGTACGCCCAGCGCCTTGGCCGATAGCAGGTGCTCCGAACACATCCATCGTTCCTGGACTCGAACCCAAAGCATCCGAACGACCAGATTCTGCGAACTGTCTAACTGGCGCTGATACACGACGACCCAACCGGAATAATACATAGGAGCGACTATGGGATACACCTGTGGAAGAGACCAGAAGTCAATTTTGTTTGTCTATTTAGAAAACAAGAGAGGGACTTCTATATCCTTCAAAATTAATTAAAAAATTAATAACAAAAAAAATAAAAAAACATACAGCCGAATTGAGAACCTCCTCCTTTTTGAGAAAGTCGGTTGAAAATTGGAAAATATCAAAAGACGAGTATAAAACAATAGTATTTTACTAGTAAGAGATATGTAAAACATGATGGAAAGTTTAATAAAAAAATATATATTGACCTCCTTCTCGTATGTATGTCCAATTATAATTTTTTCTCTTTGAACTAGTTCAAAAAATAAGCTACAATATTCAATGCATTTATTGTATGTATGTATATTTTTTCTTTATTAATATTCTTCAAAATATATACCGACCAAGTTTCAGGCAAAGCTCGACACATACCACTTATGCAACAAAGGGCTTCAAAAAGCTCTATAAAGCTTAAGCTTTAATGAATGAAAGCTGTAATCTGCATTTCCATTTGTTTTACTTTCAAAATATATTATGCTAAGTGTTTTTTTTGCGTACTTACGCAAAAAATTGAAAATATGAGTAGGTACTTACCTACTCATATTTTCAATTCCATAGAATAAGAAAACAATACTAACGATTTTTAACCGACTTCCAAAAAGAAGGAGGTTCTCAATTCGTCGGAATCTTTTTTTTTATGTATGTTCACCGATTACTCGAAGACGCCTGAATCGATGAGGTTTTTTTTTGTTTCGAAGGTTATACTTCCCAGGTGGTCCTATATAAATTTTATCGAAATCGGTCGAGCGGTTTTTAAAAAAATCAACAATTAATTATTTTTTTGAAATAAATTGCTTAATCGAATACGTAATTAAAAACTTTCTTCTTACAAATTAGTGTTTTTAGGTCTACATTAAAAATGGAAAAATATAAACATTTAAAAAAAACGACTTCAAGGCACTAAAATGTAAAAAATAACTAAACGGGGGTTTTCATTTAGAATAGATAAATAATCAGATATTTTCGAAGTCGGTGCCAGCCGATAATACTTTAAGATATGAATATCTAATAAGTAAATATGAAAAGGTATGAACTCTAATTATAGTTAAAATATTATACATCAATTTGTGATATATTTTACGTATCGAAATACTTTATATTAGGTTTGCTTTGCATCGGCTGGAACCGACGTCCAAAATATCTGATTAGGTAGCTATCTATTCTAAATGAAAACTCCCGCTTAGTTATTTTGTACATTTTAGTGCCTGGAAGTAGTTTTTTTTAATGAGAGACTCTCCCGTGACCATGATTGCTGTAAAGCATTCGGAACATCGGGAACCGATAATCAAAATGAATCCGCGAAAAAAACCGAAAAGATAATTTTATTTAAAATCCAATTAACACACTTTCATAATTATAATACTATATTTTGCGGCCCACTCGCATGGTAAGCGAAACTAGGATCAAGGTAGTTTATATAAATCACTATAATATAATCAACGTCCTTACCAAATATAAAAATCTCTTAAGGGATTGAATCGTGAACAAATAAGAAACAACAGACAGTTACTTTCAAATTCATAATATTCACATCAATATTTATGTAGATAAGTTATAATTACACAAAATAAATCCATTAATTAATAAATAAATATGTTGGGACATCAACACACAGCACCATTTAGTTCCATGGTAAGTACGAGGCTTGTGTTGTGGATACAAGATAGTTGATACACTACATATATATAACTTTAAATCCATATTATAATTAATATTAACACCCATGACTGGAGTACAAGCATACGTGCTCATCACAAAAATGAATGCCCCCAGCGGGACTCGAACTCGCAACCGCTGGCACAGCAAGTAGGGCCACTATAAACTGATACAAACGTGTCGTCGGTCAAAATTCAAAGAATTAATGTCGCTATATTAAACACCAGCAAAATGAATTTTCCGCGGGTGATCTTTTAATGAAGTTGTATAAAATCTGGAGATGAACGAAAAGGCGAAAAAAGGGTAGCAAATTGCTTTGCCAACAAATCCTAGAAAAAATATTACACAATTTGCTTGGAAAGCTTTCGAAGGGAAAGTTAATTCAGCGTTTCTTACTTAAGGAAAAATCTGATTATGACTATCTAGTTTGTTTTACTTTTAACTTTGTTAGAAAATTTTAATGTAGTTTTCTTATTACAATAAATATGCACAACTATACTTTGACTAACACAGAGAAAATTTATTTAAATTTTCTAGTATTTATACTAGTAAGAAAGTGATTTTTTTATTGTTTTTTCGAGATAGAGATAGTTCATTGGAAGGAGAATGTAATAAGGTGCTTTTTCTTCCGGTATTTCAATGTATTCCCGTAGCATTTATAAGCATTTATTATGTTTATATATTTATTCTGAATTATCTTTTCGGATTTTTCGTGGATTTATTTTATTTTGATTCAAAATGACAGGAGTATGTATGTATGTATTCAGCCCTTTTTAACGCCCTACTGCGGGGCACGGTCGCCCTACAATACAAAAGATATCAGGCCATAGTTCACCACGCTGGCTGAGTGCGACATGCAGGTTTCTTCGCAATGTTTTCCTTCACCGTAAGACAAGTGGTAATCATGTTGGAAATGATTTACACATATCAAAGATGCAAGACCCGATATTTGAACCCGCTTTATTCGGTTACCCAAGCGACCACGTTACCACTAGCCACTGTACCACTACATATTATAAATACTCAAACCTTATTATGACTAAAGAAATTTTATTACCAAGAACAACAAAACGAACTAATGATATAATTAGTTACAATTTTTTTTTTATTTTCCATACACTAACTATTATTTAGAGGAAGTTTATTCAAATATTTACATAACATTCTGAACTCATTAGCTATATTCTAATAATGAACAAGGCTGGGACATTTCCGTGCGCTTGATAACGTTTCAAGGAGAATGATTCACAAGGAAAGTCGTGCCAATGACATTAAAACTATTACGGATGTGCTTATCTATAAAGCTACGGATATAAATACAATAGAAACCATACTATAATATTAATATTTTTAATATTATAAATGTGAAAGTGTGCACGTCGAAACAGAGTGACGGATTGGCGTGTTTTTTGTGTGGAGACAGTTGGAAGGCTGAATAGTGTTAAAGACTACTGTTTACCGTAGGAAATTATCTCAATACCACGGGAAGCATATTATAATCTATACATATAATTAAATTCAAATAAGCCGAATCTGTACATCGAATAATTTTTAAAAATCTGATTGCAATAGACATTATTATCGATACAGAGGCCGAATCTATAGTTTTAGAATTTTTGTCTGTCTGTCTGTCTGTTACCGAATCACGGAAAAACCACTGAAGAGAGATTGATGATATTTGGTATGATGGTAGCTGGTTATCCGGGTCAACATATAGGATACTTTTTACTGCGGGAAAATATTTCATTTCTGAGAAAAAATACAAAAACTGCAATGTAAGAGTATACTAATATGTAAAACTTAAGAATTTGGTTTTTGGTCATCTGAACGCGGGCGGAACCGCGGGCAATGCTAGTACAACATAAAATAGTGTGACCGTTGAAACGTACCTAGGGAAGAACAAAGCGAATCGAGGGTGAATCGCTAGTAACCTATTATTTGTAGATATGCTTAGAGTCAAGACAGGTATTGATTATGGAATGGAAGCTGTCTCACTGATCTATACAGATAAATAAAATTGAAGTGTCTGTTTGTAATGTCAAAATAACAGCTTTTTAATAAATGCATATGAAATTGTATGCGGTACTTATACGGAAAAAAACAGTTTTTAATATTTTTGTTTGTCTGTCCGTCTGTTTGTTCCAGCTATTCTCCGAAACAGCTAGACTGATTTTGACGGGACTTCACTGGTAGCTGATGTTATAAGGAGTAACTTAGGCTACTTTTATTTAAGAAAAATAATTAAGGTCCTGCTCAAAAAAAAAATTACCTAGGGACGCACCCGCGCGAAGCTAGGGTGAGTCACTAGTCTAATATAAGTACTGGATGTTTTCTGTCAAGAAATTTTAAAATAATATTACCTGCCTACATGTTTAGCATCAGTGAGATTATTGTCCCTGACTGAAATCGGTTAGGACCTTGATTAATTTAATAAATAAAATTTAATAAATAAATATGTTGGGATATAACATACAGCACCATCAAGTTCCATGGTAGGCTACGAGGCTTGTGTTATGGATACCAGATAGTTGATACACTACACATATATAACTTTAAATACATACAAATTATAAATATAAATACCCATGACTGAAGTACAAACATTCGTGCTCATCACACCAATGAATACCCCCAGCGGGACTCGAACCCGTGACCGCTAGTACAGCAAATAGGATCACTACAAACTGAGCCAAACGTGTCGTCAAATAAGCCAGCCCAGTGATTGAAATTCGACCATAATCATTATATTAAAAAAAACTATTTACAAAATTTAGTTATAAAAAACACTAAAGCTCGTAATAGCTGATAAACAAAAAAAAAAAGAGAAATCGGTTCTCAAACAAAGACAAAGAAGGTACTGATGCTATTATTTTATCTAAACGGTTTTGTCTTTTCCTATTTATATATATACTCGTAAACATACGCGGACGGGCTAACAGAAGAAAAGTGTTTTAAATAAAACTATCTTTTCGGATTTTTTCGCGGATTTCTTTTGATTTTTGGTTCCCGGCGTTTCGAATGCTTTACAGCAATTATGGTCACGGGAGAGGTAAGGTGTTAGATGTCTCAAAGTCATTATATAGTTTTGTTTTTCCAATTACACAATGAGAACTTAATTTATTTTATAAAATAAGCTAATAATACATCAGCTTTATTTAACATTTTCTTTGACTAAATCTTTTTCAATTAATAAGACTTCAAGTAGGTATTCTTTGTTCTTGAAGTTTTCTAATAATGTATAAAAGCTTTAAGAAATAACTAAATAACAAAGACTTGAAAAATAATAATATTATCT